CTGGGGGACATGGGAGGACACTGGGGACACTGGGGGACACTGGGGGACACTGGGGACACTGGGGGACACTGGGGACACGTCAGGACAGCAGGTGGGGACACTGGGGACACTGGGGGACACTGGGGACACTGGGGACACGTCAGGACCTCAGGTGGGGGCACTGGGGACACTGGGGACAATGGCGACATGGGGGGACACTGGGGACAAACTGCACCGTCACCGGCTGGGGACACGTCAGGACTGCAGGTGGGGGCACTGGGGACACTGGGAATACTGGGGGGACACTGGGGACACTGGGGACACTGGGGACAGGGGGGACATTGGGGACACTGGGGGGACACTGGGGACACTGGGGACATGGGGGGGACACTGGGGACACTGGGGGGACACTGGGGACACGTCAGGACAGCAGGTGGCGAGCACTGGGGACACTGGGGACACTGGGGACACTGGGGTGGCCCTGGGGACACTGGGGACACTGGGGTGGCCCCGGGGACACTCGTGTGGCCCTGGGGACACTGGGGACACTGGGGACACTGGGGACACTGGGGTGGCCCTGGGGACACTGGGACCCCCGTGTGACACCGTGGTGTCCCCACAGTGCCACTGCCACCCCCCAAGACGCTGCAGCAGCTGGAGGTGCCCCTGCTGAGCCGGGGCCACTGTGACACTGGGGACACTGGGGTGGCACTGGGCACACTGGGGTGACCCTGGGCACACTGGGGACACTGGGAGTGGCCCTGGGCACACTGGGGACACTGGGGTGACACTGAGCACACTGGGGTGACCCTGGGCACACTGGGGGTGACACTGGGGACACTGGGATGGCCCTGGGCACACTGGGGACACTGGGGGTGGCACTGGGGATGGCACTGGGGACACTGGGGATGGCCCTGGGCACACTGGGAACACTGGGGATGGCACTGGGCACACTGGGGGTGACACTGGGGACACTGGGGACACTGGGATGACCCTGGGCACACTGGGGGTGACACTGGGCACACTGGGGACACTGGGGTGGCACTGGGCACACTGGGGGTGACCCTGGGCACACTGGGGTGACCCTGGGCACCCTGTGGCCCCCCGTGTGACACCGCGGTGTCCCCACAGTGCCACTGGCACCCCCCAAGACGCTGCAGCAGCTGGAGGTGCCCCTGCTGAGCCGGGGTCACTGTGACACTGGGGACACTGGGGGTGACCCTGGGGACACTGGGGGTGACTCTGGGCACACTGGGGTGACCTAGGGACACCGTGGTGTCCCCACAGTGCCACTGCCACCCCCCAAGACGCTGCAGCAGCTGGAGGTGCCCCTGCTGAGCCGGGGTCACTGTCACTGCCTGTACCAGAGAGCGGGGACAGGGACAGGGGACAGCGAGGACGGGCTGGGGACACCCGCGGGGGACACGCTCTGTGCCGGCTTCCCACGGGGACAGCGCGACGCCTGCCAGGTGGGGACACCCCCCTGGCACCCCCTGATGTGTCCTGTCACCCTTGGCACCTTCTGTCGCTCCTTGGCACCTTCTGTCACCCCTTGTCACCTTCTGTCACCTCCTGATGTCTCCTGTCGCCCCTTGTCACCCCCCTGGCACCCCCTGATGTGTCCTGTCAACCCTTGGCACCTTCTGTCACCCCTTGGCACCTTCTGTCACCTCCTGATGTCTCCTGTCGCCCCTTGTCACCCCCCTGGCACCCCCTGATGTGTCCTGTCAACCCTTGGCACCTTCTGTCACCCCTTGGCACCTTCTGTCACCCCTTGTCACCTTCTGTCACCTCCTGATGTCTCCTGTCGCCCCTTGTCACCCCCCTGGCACCCCCTGATGTGTCCTGTCAACCCTTGGCACCTTCTGTCACCCCTTGGCACCTTCTGTCACCTCCTGATGTCTCCTGTCGCTCCTTGTCACCTTCTGTCACTCCTTGTCACCCCCTGGCACAGCCTGGCACCCCCTGATGTGTCCTGTCACTCCTTGTCACCTTCTGTCACCCCCCTGGCACAGCCTGGCACCCCCTGTCACCTTCTGCCACCCCTTGTCACCTTCTGTCACTCCTGTCCCTCTGTCCCCCCAGGGTGACTCAGGAGGTCCCCTGTCCTGCCTGGTGGGTGTCCCTGTGTCACTCCTGTCCCCTCTGTCCCCCCAGGGTGACTCAGGAGGTCCCCTCTCGTGCCTGGTGGGCGGCTCATGACCCCCACGTCACTCCTGTCCCCTCTGTGTCCCCTCTGTCCCCCAGGGTGACTCTGGTGGTCCCCTGTCCTGCCTGGTGGGTGTCCCTGTGTCACTCCTGTCCCCTCTGTCCCCCCAGGGTGACTCAGGAGGTCCCCTCTCGTGCCTGGTGGGTGTCCCTGTGTCACTCCTGTCCCCTCTGTCCCCCCAGGGTGACTCTGGTGGTCCCCTCTCGTGCCTGGTGGGCGGCTCATGACCCCCACGTCACTCCTGTCCCCTCTGTGTCCCCTCTGTGTCCCCCAGGGTGACTCTGGTGGTCCCCTGTCCTGCCTGGTGGGTGTCCCTGTGTCACTCCTGTCCCCTCTGTCCCCCCAGGGTGACTCTGGTGGGTGTCCCTGTGTCACTCCTGTCCCCTCTGTGTCCCCAGGGTGACTCTGGTGGTCCCCTGTCCTGCCTGGTGGGTGGCTCATGACCCCCACGTCACTCCTGTCCCCTCTGTCCCCCCAGGGTGACTCTGGTGGGTGTCCCTGTGTCACTCCTGTCCCCTCTGTCCCCCCAGGGTGACTCAGGAGGTCCCCTGTCCGTGCCTGGTGGGCGGCTCGTGGCTGCTGTGTGATTGTTGTCCCCTCTGTGTCCCCTCTGTCCCCCCAGGGTGACTCTGGTGGTCCCCTCTCCTGCCTGGTGGGTGTCCCTGTGTGATTGTTGTCCCCTCTGTCCCCCCAGGGTGACTCAGGAGGTCCCCTCTCGTGCCTGGTGGGCGGCTCGTGGCTCCTGGCGGGCGTGGTGAGTTGGGGTCACTCGTGCGGGCGGCCGGGGCTGCCGGGGGTCTACACGGGGGTCGCCCCCCACGCCCGCTGGATCCTCAGCGCCGTCCCCGACGCCCCCTGAGGCTCCCCCGGCCCCTCCCCTCCCAAAGACCCCCCGCGGACCCCTGCGAGGGGTGGGACCCCCGAACCCCGCCTGGCCACGCCCACTGCCCCCGGAGGGGGAGGGGCCGCGGGCAGGGCGGGGACCTCCCGGGACCCCCCAGTTCTGATGGTGGTGGTGATGGTGGTGATGGTGGGGGTGCTGGGGGGGTGAGAAACCCCCCGAAATGGGGGGGTGGGAGCCTGAAAAGGGGGTCTGGGGGCCCAAAAATGGGGTCTGGTACCCCAAAAATGGGGTCTGGGATCCCAAAAAGGGGTCCTGGCACCCCAGAAAGGGGGCCTGGGATCCCAAAAGTGACTCGTGGGACCCCAAAAAGGGGTGGTGGGATCCCAAAAAGGGGTCCTGGCACCCCAAAAAGGGGGCCTGGGATCCCAAAAAGGGGTCCTGGCACCCCAAAAACGGGGCCTGGGATCCCAAAAGTGACTCGTGGGACCCCAAAAAGGGGTGGTGGGATCCCAAAAAGGGGTCCTGGCACCCCAAAAAGGGGGCCTGGGATCCCAAAAGGGGTCCTGGCACCCCAAAAATGGGGCCTGGGACCCCAAAAATGGGTACTGGGACCCTAAAAAATGGATCTTGGCACACCAAAATGACTCCTGAGACCTTAAAAGTGACTCGTGGGAACCTCCTGAGACCCCAAAAGTGACTCGTGGGACCCCAAAATGGGTCTGGGACCCCAAAAATGGGGCCTGAGACCCCAAAAGTGACTCGTGGGACCCCCAAAAATGGATCTTGGCATCCCAAAGCAGCTCCTGAGACCCCAGAAGTGACTCGTGGGACCCCAAAATGGGTGGTGGGACCCCAAAAAGGGGTCCTGGCACCCCAAAAAATGGATCTTGGCACCCCAAAGCAGCTCCTGAGACCCCAAAAGTGCCTCGTGGGACCCCAAAGTGGGTGGTGGGACCCCAAAAAGGGGTCCTGGGATCCCAAAAGTGACTCGTGGGACCCCAAAGTGGGTGGTGGGACCCCAAAAATGGGTCCTGAGCCCCCAAAAGTGACTCGTGGGACCCCAAAGTGGGTGGTGGGACCCCAAAAAGGGGTCCTGGGGCTCCCAAAAAGGGGTCCTGGCACCCCAAAAATGGGTCCTGAGCCCCCAAAAGTGACTCGTGGGACCCCAAAATGGGTGGTGGGACCCCAAAACCGGCTCGTGGGACCCCCCAAATTGACTCTTGCACCCCCCAAACCCCCTCAAAAACGCCCCCCCAAATAAACACTCTGAGCACCCCCTGCAACTTCCGCCTTTATTGGGGTCGGGACCCCCCAAATTTGAGGGGGGGGAACACAAAGAGACCCCCAAATTTGAGGGGAGCCGGACCCCAAACTTTGAGGAGGGACACACAGAGACCCCCAAAACTGGGGAGGGGAGTCCCAGGACCCCTAAATTTTGAGGAGGGGAGTCCCAGGACCCCCAAATTTGAGGAGGGGGAGTCCCAAGACCCCCAAATTTGAGGGGGAAACATAAAGACCCCCCCCAAAAAACTGGGAGTGGGAGTCCCAGGACCCCCAAATTTGAGGAGGGGGACACAGAGACCCCAAATTTGAGGAGGGGGAGTCCCAGGACCCCCAAATTTTGAGGGGGAGTCCCAGGACCCCCAAATTTTGAGGAGGGGAGTCCCAGGACCCCCAAATTTGAGGGGGATTCCCAGGACCCCGGATTTGGGGGAGTCCCAGGATCCCCCCCCAAATTTGAGGGGGGGGAAACATAAAGACCCCCCAAAACTGGGAGTGGGAGTCCCAGGACCCCCCCAAATTTGAGGAGGGGGGCACAGAGACCCCCAAATTTTGAGGAGGGGGAGTCCCGAGGACCCCCAAATTTTGAGTGGGAGTCCCTCAGGACCCCCAAATTTTGGAGGAGTGGGAGTCCTGCAGGACCCCCAAATTTGAGGGGGATTCGGGGACCCCCTAAATCTCTGAGGAGGGGGAGTCCCAAGACCCCCCAAATTTGAGGGGGGGAAACATAAAGACCCCCCCCAAAAAACTGGGAGTGGGGGGGGAGTCCCAGGACCCCCCAAATTTGAGGAGGGGGACACAGAGACCCCCAAATTTGAGGAGGGGGAGTCCCAGGACCCCCCAAATTTGAGGGGGGGAGTCCCAGGACCCCCCAAATTTGAGGAGGGGGAGTCCCAGGACCCCCCAAATTTGAGGGGGGGGATTCCCAGGACCCCCCAAATTTTGAGGAGGGGGAGTCACAGGACCCCCAAATTTTAGGAGGGGGAGTCCCAGGACCCCCCAAATTTGAGGAGGGGGAGTCCCAGAACCCCCCAAATTTTGAGGAGGGGGACACAGAGACCCCCAAATTTTGGGGGCCTGGGGGGTCCCAGGGTGGGGGGGGAGGGGCTGGAGACCCCTCCCCAAAATCACTTCTTGGCCACCTTGGCCTGCTTGTGCTTCGGGGGGGCCCAGCGGAGGCAGATGGAGTCCACTGGGGGGGCAATTAACGGCAATTAACGGCTAATTAGGGGGGGTAATTAGGGGGGTAATTAGCCTTAATTAAGGCTAATTAAGGACAATTTCTTGAGGGGGTTCATTAAGGAGGGGGTCTCTGGGGGACCTAATTAAGAGGGGGGGTTTTGGGGGAGGAGTTAATTACCAGGAAAGGCTTAATTAATTAATAATTCCTAAGTGATAATTATTAGTAGTAGTTATTAGTAGTAGTATATTATATGTAATAATTATATATAATATATAGGAATAATTTATAATAATATATGATATATAATAATATATAATACATAAGAATATATCATATACTAGTAATAATAACTATTAATAATTATTAATAATGATAATTAATAATTATTAATATATAATAATTAGATGCATTGTACTATTAACAATTATTAATAACTATTAATAATATATAATACTTATATATAATATATACAAAGAATGTATAAAACACAATACATAATAATATATATTACTTATTATTAATTAGTCTTAATAATAACTAATAATACGTAATATAATTATATATAATTTTTAAATTTTTAATTCTTTAAATTTTTAATTAATATATAATATAGAATAGGCACTAATAATAGATATATATAATATAATATATATAATACATAATAATAGAATACTAGAATAGAATAATAATATAATAGATATATAATATAATATATATAATACATAATAATAGAATAATAGAATAGAATAATAATAGAATAGATATATATAATACATAATAATGAAATACTAGAATAATAGAACAGAATAATACTATAATATATATAATATATAATAGAATAAGAGAAGAATAATATAATATTATAATAAAATAATGAATAATGGAATAATAGATTAATAGAATAATATGATAATAATATAATAGATACATATAATATATACCACACGCTAATAACACACTAATAACAATTAATATTAATTACTAATAATTATTAATCCCAATTAATTAATTAATTAATTAATTAATAATTAATTAGGGGGGCTCAGCACCCACCTGTGATGGGGGGCTTCTTGTACTGGGCGCTCTTGAGGTGCTCCTCGACCAGTTTGGGGGTGACGCAGATGACGTGCTGGCCCTTCCAGTACTTGACCATGTTGAGCGACTGCAGCGTGCTGATGATGTCGGTCTGGGTGATACTGGTCATCTGGCTGGGGAACTGGGGTCACTGGGAGCACTGGGAGGGGCACTGGGAGCACTGGGAAGGGCTGATGATGTCGGTCTGGGTGATACTGGTCATCTGGCTGGGGAACTGGGGTCACTGGGAGCACTGGGAGGGGCACTGGGAGCACTGGGAAGGGCTGATGATGTCGGTCTGGGTGATACTGGTCATCTGGCTGGGGAACTGGGGTCACTGGGAGCACTGGGAGGGGCACTGGGAGCACTGGGAAGGGCTGATGATGTCGGTCTGGGTGATACTGGTCATCTGGCTGGGGAACTGGGGTCACTGGGAGCACTGGGAGGGGCACTGGGAGCACTGGGAAGGGCTGATGATGTCGGTCTGGGTGATACTGGTCATCTGGCTGGGGAACTGGGGTCACTGGGAGCACTGGGAGGGGCACTGGGAGCACTGGGAAGGGCTGATGATGTCGGTCTGGGTGATACTGGTCATCTGGCTGGGGAACTGGGGTCACTGGGAGCACTGGGAGGGGCACTGGGAGCACTGGGAAGGGCTGATGATGTCGGTCTGGGTGATACTGGTCATCTGGCTGGGGAACTGGGGTCACTGGGAGCACTGGGAGGGGCACTGGGAGCACTGGGAAGGGCTGATGATGTCGGTCTGGGTGATACTGGTCATCTGGCTGGGGAACTGGGGTCACTGGGAGCACTGGGAGGGGCACTGGGAGCACTGGGAAGGGCTGATGATGTCGGTCTGGGTGATACTGGTCATCTGGCTGGGGAACTGGGGTCACTGGGAGCACTGGGAGGGGCACTGGGAGCACTGGGAAGGGCTGATGATGTCGGTCGGGTGATACTGGTCATCTGGCTGGGGAACTGGGGTCACTGGGAGCACTGGGAGGGGCACTGGGAGCACTGGGAAGGGCTGATGATGTCGGTCTGGGTGATACTGGTCATCTGGCTGGGGAACTGGGGTCACTGGGAGCACTGGGAGGGGCACTGGGAGCACTGGGAAGGGCTGATGATGTCGCTCGGGGTGATACTGGTCATCTGGCTGGGGAACTGGGGTCACTGGGAGCACTGGGAGGGGCACTGGGAGCACTGGGAAGGGCTGATGATGTCGGTCTGGGTGATACTGGTCATCTGGCTGGGGAACTGGGGTCACTGGGAGCACTGGGAGGGGCACTGGGAGCACTGGGAAGGGCTGATGATGTCATCTGGCTGGGGAACTGGGGTCACTGGGAGCACTGGGAGGGGCACTGGGAGCACTGGGAAGGGCTGATGATGTCGGTCTGGGTGATACTGGTCATCTGGCTGGGGAACTGGGGTCACTGGGAGCACTGGGAGGGCACTGGGAGCACTGGGAAGGGCTGATGATGTCATCTGGCTGGGGAACTGGGGTCACTGGGAGCACTGGGAGGGCACTGGGAGCACTGGGAAGGGCTGATGATGTCGGTCTGGGTGATACTGGTCATCTGGCTGGGGAACTGGGGTCACTGGGAGCACTGGGAGGGCACTGGGAGCACTGGGAAGGGCTGATGATGTCGCTCTGGGTGATACCGGTCATCTGGCTGGGGAACTGGGGTCACTGGGAGCACTGGGAGGGGCACTGGGAGCACTGGGAAGGGCTGATGATGTCGGTCTGGGTGATACTGGTCATCTGGCTGGGGAACTGGGGTCACTGGGAGCACTGGGAGGGGCACTGGGAGCACTGGGAAGGGCTGATGATGTCGGTCTGGGTGATACTGGTCATCTGGCTGGGGAACTGGGGTCACTGGGAGCACTGGGAGGGGCACTGGGAGCACTGGGAAGGGCTGATGATGTCGGTCTGGGTGATACTGGTCATCTGGCTGGGGAACTGGGGTCACTGGGAGCACTGGGAGGGGCACTGGGAGCACTGGGAAGGGCTGATGATGTCGGTCTGGGTGATACTGGTCATCTGGCTGGGGAACTGGGGTCACTGGGAGCACTGGGAGGGGCACTGGGAGCACTGGGAAGGGCTGATGATGTCATCTGGCTGGGGAACTGGGGTCACTGGGAGCACTGGGAGGGGCACTGGGAGCACTGGGAAGGGCTGATGATGCGGTCTGGGTGATACTGGTCATCTGGCTGGGGAACTGGGGTCACTGGGAGCACTGGGAGGGGCACTGGGAGCACTGGGAAGGGCTGATGATGTCATCTGGCTGGGGAACTGGGGTCACTGGGAGCACTGGGAGGGCACTGGGAGCACTGGGAAGGGCTGATGATGTCGGTCTGGGTGATACTGGTCATCTGGCTGGGGAACTGGGGTCACTGGGAGCACTGGGAGGGGCACTGGGAGCACTGGGAAGGGCTGATGATGTCGGTCTGGGTGATACTGGTCATCTGGCTGGGGAACTGGGGTCACTGGGAGCACTGGGAGGGGCACTGGGAGCACTGGGAAGGGCTGATGATGTCGGTCTGGGTGATACTGGTCATCTGGCTGGGGAACTGGGGTCACTGGGAGCACTGGGAGGGGCACTGGGAGCACTGGGAAGGGCTGATGATGTCGGTCTGGGTGATACTGGTCATCTGGCTGGGGAACTGGGGTCACTGGGAGCACTGGGAGGGGCACTGGGAGCACTGGGAAGGGCTGATGATGTCGGTCTGGGTGATACTGGTCATCTGGCTGGGGAACTGGGGTCACTGGGAGCACTGGGAGGGGCACTGGGAGCACTGGGAAGGGCTGATGATGTCGGTCTGGGTGATACTGGTCATCTGGCTGGGGAACTGGGGTCACTGGGAGCACTGGGAGGGCACTGGGAGCACTGGGAAGGGCTGATGATGTCGGTCTGAGTGATACTGGTCATCTGGCTGGGGAACTGGGGTCACTGGGAGCACTGGGAGGGGCACTGGGAGCACTGGGAAGGGCTGATGATGTCGGTCTGGGTGATACTGGTCATCTGGCTGGGGAACTGGGGTCACTGGGAGCACTGGGAGGGGCACTGGGAGCACTGGGAAGGGCTGATGATGTCGGTCTGGGTGATACTGGTCATCTGGCTGGGGAACTGGGGTCACTGGGAGCACTGGGAGGGGCACTGGGAGCACTGGGAAGGGCTGATGATGTCGGTCTGGGTGATACTGGTCATCTGGCTGGGGAACTGGGGTCACTGGGAGCACTGGGAGGGGCACTGGGAGCACTGGGAAGGGCTGATGATGTCGGTCTGGGTGATACCGGTCATCTGGCTGGGGAACTGGGGTTACTGGGAGCACTGGGAGGAGTCACTGGGAGCACTGGGAGGGGCACTGGTCATCTGGCTGGGGAACTGGGAGCACTGGGAGCTCATCTGTCCTATACTGGGAGCACTGGGAGCACTGGGAGGAGTCACTGGGAGCACTGGTAGGGGCACTGGGAGCTCGTCTGTCCCATACTGGGAGCACTGGGAGGAGTCACTGGGAGCACTGGGAGGGGTCACAGGGTCTCCAACAGCCCCCACAACCCCCCGTTACTGGTCTTACTGGGAGGCTACTGGTCATACTGGTGGGATACTAGTGATCATACTGGGAAGCTACTTGTCTTACTGGGAGGCTACTGGTGATACTGAGAGGCTACTGGTGTTACTGGGATGTTACTGGTGTTACTGGGACGTTACTGGTGCCCCGGAAGTCCCTGAGGATCTCCAGCAGCACCCAGGACCAGTTACTGGGGACACCCCTCTACTGGTCTGTACTGGTCTATACTGGTTTATACTGGTCTATACTGGTCTGTACTGGTTTATACTGGTCTCACCTGAGGTCCTTGATGGAGAGGGTGCCCCGGAAGTCCCTGAGGATCTCCAGCAGCACCCAGGACCAGTTACTGGGGACACCCCTCTACTGGTCTATACTGGTCTGTACTGGTCTATACTGGTTTATACTGGTCTGTACTGGTCTCACCTGAGGTCCTTGATGGAGAGGGTGCCCCGGAAGTCCCTGAGGATCTCCAGCAGCACCCAGGACCAGTTACTGGGGACACCCCTCTACTGGTCTGTACTGGTCTATACTGATCTATACTGGTTTATACTGGTCTATACTGGTCTGTACTGGTCTCACCTGAGGTCCTTGATGGAGAGGGTGCCCCGGAAGTCCCTGAGGATCTCCAGCAGCACCCAGGACCAGTAGCTCCGGTAGCTCAGCTTGCCCAGGTCCGACAGCGGCTTCTCCGGGGACCCCACGGTGCTCTCCAGCTTGGACAGCTCGTAACCTGACCCCAAAAACACCCTCAGGGACCCCAAAATCACCCTCAGGGACCCCAAAATCCAACTCAGGGACCCCAAAAACCAACTCAGGGACCCCCAAAACACCCTGGGACCCCCCCAAAAACCCCCTGGAACCCAAAAAAACATCCTGGAATCCCAAAAACACCTCAAAACCACCCCCAAATCCCCCCCAGGGACCCCACGGTGCTCTCCAGCTTGGACAGCTCGTAACCTGACCCCAAAAACACCCTCAGGGACCCCAAAATCACAACTCAGGGACCCCAAAATCCAACTCAGGGACCCCAAAAACCCCCTGGAACCCCCAAAACACCTCAAACCCACCCCCAAATCCCCCCCAGGGACCCCACGGTGCTCTCCAGCTTGGACAGCTCGGAACCTGACCCCAAAAACACCCCAAAAACCCCTCAGGGACCCCAGAATCACCTTCAGGGACCCCAAAAACCCCTCAGGGACCCCAAAATCCAACTCAGGGACCCCAAAAACCCCCTCAGGGACCCCAAAATCACCCTCAGGGACCCCAAATCCAACTCCCAGCCTGGACCCCAACAAAGCACCCATCAGGGACCCCAAAAGCCCCTCAGGGACCCCAAAACTCCCAACTCAGGGACCCCAAGAAACACCCTCAGGGACCCCAAAAACACCCTCAGGGACCCCAAAAACCACCTCAGGGACCCCAAATCCAACTCAGGGACCCCAAAAACACCCTGGAACCCCAAAACCCCCAAAACCACCCCCAAATCCCCAGGGACCCCACGGTGCTCTCCAGCTTGGACAGCTCGGAACCTGACCCCAAAAACACCCTCAGGGACCCCAAAATCCAACTCAGGGACCCCGAAAACCCCCTCAGGGACCCCAAAATCCCCTCAGGGACCCCAAAATCCAACTCAGGGACCCCAAAAACACCCTGGAACCCCAAAACCCCCAAAACCACCCCCAAATCCCCCCCAGGGACCCCACGGTGCTCTCCAGCTTGGACAGCTCGGAACCTGACCCCAAAAACACCCTCAGGGACCCCAAAATCCAACTCAGGGACCCCAAAAACACCCTCAGGGACCCCAAAATCCAACTCAGGGACCCCAAAATCCAACTCAGGGACCCCAAAAACCCCCTGGAACCCCCAAAACACCCCAAAACCACCCCAATCCCCAGGGACCCCACGGTGCTCTCCAGCTTGGACAGCTCATAACCTACACAGGGACCCCAAAAACACCCTCAGGGACCCCAAAATCCAACTCAGGGACCCCAAAAACCCCTCAGGGACCCCAAAAACACCCTCAGGGACCCCAAAATCCAACTCAGGGACCCCAAAAACACCCTCAGGGACCCCAAAATCCCTCAGGGACCCCAAAATCCAACTCAGGGACCCCAAAAACACCCTCAGGGACCCCAAAAACCCCTCAGGGACCCCAAAAACACCCGCAGGGACCCCAAAAACCCCTGGAACCTCCAAAACCTCAGGACCCCAAAAACCCCTCAGGGACCCCAAAATCCAACTCAGGGACCCCAAAAACACCCGCAGGGACCCCAAAAACCCCCTGGAACCTCCAAAACACCCCAAAAACCCCTCAGGGACCCCAAAATCCAACTCAGGGACCCCAAAAACCCCTCAGGGACCCCAAAAACCCCTTTTCTGACCCCAAATCCTCTTCTTTTTGTGTCCCTCCTCCTCATTTGGGACCCCCCCCATTTTAGGGGACCCCCTCCACGATTTTGGGGTCCCCCTTCGATTTTGGGGTCCCCCCCAAACCCCCCCTTTCTGATCCTAAAACCCCCCTTTTCTGACCTCAAACCCCCCTTTTCTGACCCCAAACCCCCCTTTTTTGACCCCAAGTCCCCCTATTTTGTGACCTCCCCTCCCCATTTGGGATCCCCATTTCAAGGGACCCCTCCCCATTTCAGGGTCCCCCGATTCAGGGTCCCCAATTCCTTCAGACACCCCCAAATTCCACCCTTTTAGGACCCCAAATCCCCCTTTCTGACCCCAAATCCCCTCTTTGTGACCCTCCCCCATTTCAGACCCCCATTTCAGGGTTCCCCCTATTTTGGGGTCCCCAATTCCCTCAGACACCCCCAAACTCCCCAAACTCCCCCTTTTCTGACCCTAAACCCCCTTTTGTGACCCCAAACCCCCTTTTTTGTCCCCCTCCCCATTTCAGACCCCCATTTTAAGGGACCCCTCCCCATTTCAAGGGACCCCCTCCCCATTTCAGGGTTCCCCGATTTTAGGGTCCCCCCAATTCCTTCAGACACCCCCCAAATTCCACCCTTTTAGGACCCCAAATCCCCCTTTTCTGACCCCAAATCCTCTTCTTTTTGTGTCCCTCCTCCTCATTTGGGACCCCCCCCCATTTTAGGGGACCCCCTCCCCGATTTCGGGGCCTCCCCTGATTTTGGGGTCCCCTCCAAACCCCCCTTTCTGATCCTAAAACTCCCCTTTTCTGACCCCAAACCCCCTATTTTGTGACCTCCCCTCTCCCCATTTGGGACCCCCATTTCAAGGGACCCCTCCCCATTTCAGGGTCCCCCCGATTTTGGGGTCCCCCAATTCCCTCAGACACCCCCAAATTCCACCCTTTTAGGACCCCAAATCCCCTTTCTGACCCCAAATCCCCCTCTTTGTGACCCTCCCCCATTTCAGACCCCCATTTTAAGGGACCCCCTCCCCATTTCAGGGTCCTCCCCTATTTTAGGGTCCCCCAATTCCTTCAGACACCCCCAAATTCCACCCTTTTAGGACCCCAAATCCCCTTTCTGACCCCAAATCCCCTATTTTGTTCCCCTCCCCCATTTCAGACCCCCCATTTTAAGGGACCCCTCCCCGATTTCGGGGCCTCTCCCCGATTTTGGGGTCCCCCAAACCCCCTTTCTGATCCTAAAACTCCCCTTTGTGACCCCAAACCCCCTTTTCTGACCCCAAATCCCCCTTTCTGACCCCAAATCCCCTTTTTTGTCCCCCTACCCCCATTTGAGGACCCCCATTTTAAAGGACCCCTCCCCATTTCAGGATCCCCTCCCTGATTTTGGGGTCCCCCAATTCCCTCAGACACCCCCAAACTCCCCAAATTCCTCCTTTTGTGACCCCAACCCCCTTTGTGACCCCAAACCCCCTTTCTGACCCCAAACCCCCTTTTTGTTCCCCTCCGCCCATTTCAGACCCCCCATTTTAAAGGACCCCCTCCCGATTTTGGGGTCCCTCCCCCTATTCTGGGGTCCCCCAATTCCCTCAGACACCCCCAAACTCCCCCAAACTCCCCTTTTCTGACCCTAAACCCCCCTTTTGTGACCCCAAACCCCCTTTGTGACCCCAAACCCCCTTTTTGTTCCCTCCCCCATTTCGGACCCCCATTTTAAGGACCCCCCATTTAGGGCCCCCTCCCCGATTTTGGGGCCCCCTCCCGATTTTGGGGTCCCCCCCACTCACTGAAGGCGATGAGGAACTTCCCGTAGCCCCGTCTCTGGTAGGGGGGCAGGGTGAGGATGCAGGCCACGTTGTTCCCGTCGGGGGACTCCTTCTCCTGGGGGGGAGGGGACATTTGGGGACATTTAGGGACACAATCCCAATCCCCTCTGATGTCCCCAAATCCCCTCTGATGTCCCCAAATCCCCTCTGATGTCCCCAAATCATCCCAATCTCCCCAGTGTCCCCAAATCCCCCCAAATCCCCTCAATGTCCCCAAATCTCTCCAATGTCCCCCAATCCCCTCTGATGTCCCCAAATCCCCTCTGATGTCCCCAAATCATCCCAATCCCCCCCAATGTCCCCAAATCCCCCCCCAATGTTCCCAAATCCCCTCTGATGTCCCCAAATCCCCTCTGATGTCCCCAAATCATCCCAATCCCCTCGATGTCCTCGAATCCCCTCTGATGTCCCCAAATCCCCTCTAATATCCCCAACATCCCCCAATGTCCCCAAATCCCCCCAGTGTCCCCAAATCCCCCAAATGTCCCCAACATCCCCTAATGTCCCCAAATCCTCCCCAATGTCCCCAAATCCCCCAATGTCCCCAAATTCCCTCTGATGTCCCCAAATCCCCTCGATGTCCCCAATGTCCCCAAATCCCCCCCAATGTCCCCAAATCCCCCTGATGTCCCCAAATCCCCCCAAATCCCCCCAATGTCCCCAAATCCCCCCAGTGTCCCCAAATCCCCTCAATGTCCCCAAATCCCCTCTGATGTCCCCAAATCCCCCCAAATGTCCCCAAATCCCCTCTGATGTCCCCAAATCCCCCCCAATGTCCCCAAATCCCCTCTGATGTCCCCAAATCCCCTCCGATGTCCCCAAATCTTCTCTGATGTCCCCAAATCCCCCCCAATGTCCCCAAATCATCCCAATCCCCCCCAATGTCCCCAAATCCCCTCCGATGTCCCCAAATCCCCCCAAATGTCCCCAACACCCTCAATGTCCCCAAATCCCCTCTGATGTCCCTGGGGGACATCAGGGAGGATTGGAGGGAGGTGGCACAGGTGACACAGGTGAGCTCACACAGGTGACACAGGGGAAGTGACACAGGTGACACAGGGGAGGTGACACAGGTGACACAGGGGAGGTGACAGGGGAGGTGGCACAGGTGACACAGGTGACACAGGTGAGCTCACACAGGTGACACAGGTGAGGTGACACAGGTGACACAGGTGAGCTCACACAGGTGACACAGGGGAGGTGGCACAGGTGACACAGGTGAGCTCACACAGGTGACACAGGTGAGCTCACACAGGTGACACAGGGGAGGTGGCACAGGTGACACAGGTGACACAGGTGAGCTCACACAGGTGACACAGGTGACACAGGTGAGCTCACACAGGTGACACAGGGGAGGTGGCACAGGTGACACAGGTGAGCTCACACAGGTGACACGGGAGATGGCACAGGTGACACAGGTGACACAGGTGAGGTGACACAGGTGACACAGGTGAGCTCACACAGGTGACACAGGTGAGGTGACACAGGTGAGCTCACACAGGTGACACAGGCAATCCAGGGGAGGTGGCACAGGTGACACAGGTGACACAGGTGAGCTCACACAGGTGACACAGGTGACACAGGTGAGCTCACACAGGTGACACAGGGGAGGTGACACAGGTGACACAGGTAACGCAGGTGAGGTGACAGGGGAGCTCACAAAGGTGACACAGGTAACGCAGAGGAGGTGGTACAGGTGACACAGGTGAGGTGACAGGTGACACAGGTGAGCTCACACAGGTGACACAGGTGACACAGGTGAGCTCACACAGGTGACACAGGGGAGGTGACACAGGTGACACAGGTAACGCAGGTGAGGTGACAGGGGAGCTCACAAAGGTGACACAGGTAACGCAGAGGAGGTGGTACAGGTGACACAGGTGAGGTGACACAGGTGACACAAGTGAGCTCACACAGGTGACACAGGTGACACAGGGGAGGTGGCACAGGTGACACAGGTGACACAGGTGACACAGGTGACACAGGGGAGGTGGCACAGGTGACACAGGTGAGCTCACACAGGTGACACGGGAGGTGGCACAGATGACACAGGTGACACAGGTGAGCTCACACAGGTGACACAGGGGAGGTGACACAGGTGACACAGGGGAGGTGACACAGGGGAGGTGGCACAGGTGACACAGGTGACACAGGTGAGCTCACACAGGTGACACAGGTGAGCGCACACAGGTGACACAGGCAATCCAGGGGAGGTGGCACAGGTGACACAGGTGAGCTCACACAGGTGACACAGGGGAGGTGACACAGGGGAGATGGCACAGGTGACACAGGGGAGCTCACACAGGTGACACAGGTGAGGTGACAGGGGAGGTGACACAGGTGACACAGGTGAGCTCACACAGGTGACACAGGTGAGGTGACACAGGTGAGCTCACACAGGTGACACAGGTGAGCTCACACAGGTGACACAGGTGACACAGGGGAGATGGCACAGGTGACACAGGTGACACAGGGGAGGTGGCACAGGTGACACAGGTGACACAGGTGAGCTCACACAGGTGACACAGGTGAGCTCACACAGGTGACACAGGTGAGCTCACACAGGTGACACAGGCAATCCAGGGGAGGTGGCACAGGTGACACAAAGCTCACACAGGTGACACAGGTGAGCTCACACAGGTGACACAGGTGAGCTCACACAGGTGACACAGGGGAGGTGGCACAGGTGACACAGGTGAGCTCACACAGGTGACACAGGGGAGGTGACACAGGTGACACAGGTGAGCTCACACAGGTGACACAGGGGAGGTGGCACAGGTGACACAAAGCTCACACAGGTGACACAGGTGAGCTCACACAGGTGACACAGGTGAGCTCACACAGGTGACACAGGGGAGGTGGCACAGGTGACACAGGTGAGCTCACACAGGTGACACAGGGGAGGTGACACAGGTGACACAGGTGAGCTCACACAGGTGACACAGGGGAGGTGACAGGGGAGGTGGCACAGGTGACACAGGTGACACAGGTGAGCTCACACAGGTGACACAGGTGAGCTCACACAGGTGACACAGGTGACACAGGTGAGCTCACACAGGTGACACAGGGGAGGTGGCACAGGTGACACAGGTGACACAGGGGAGGTGGCACAGGTGACACAGGTGAGCTCACACAGGTGACACAGGTGAGCTCACACAGGTGACACAGGGGAGGTGGCACAGGTGACACAAAGCTCACACAGGTGACACAGGTGAGCTCACACAGGTGACACAGGTGAGCTCACACAGGTGACACAGGGAGGTGGCTAGGTGACACAGGTGAGCTCACACAGGTGACACAGGGGAGGTGACACAGGTGACACAGGTGAGCTCACACAGGTGACACAGGGGAGGTGGCACAGGTGACACAGGTGAGCTCACACAGGTGACACAGGGGAGGTGGCACAGGTGACACAGGTGAGCTCACACAGGTGACACAGGCAACCCAGGGGAGGTGGCACAGGTGACACAGGGGAGGTGACACAGGTGAGCTCACACAGGTGACACAGGTGACACAGGTGAGGTGACACAGGTGACACAGGGAGGTGACACAGGTGACACAGGGGAGGTGACACAGGTGACACAGGGAGGTGACACAGGTGAGCTCACACAGGTGACACAGGCAATGCAGGGGAGGTGGCACAGGTGACACAGGTGACAGGGGCAGACAGGGGGTGGCACAGGTGACCCAGGTGACCCCAGGTGAGCCCACCTTTGAGAAGTACCCCACGATGTGGGCTCCGTGCCGGTCGACCTCGGTGAGCAGGTAGAACACGAAGGGCTCCACGTCGAAGTAGAGGGTCTTGTGGTCCAGGAACAGCTTGGCCAGCAGGCACAGGTTCTGGCAGTAGATCTGGGGGAGCACAGGTGAGTCAGAAACCCCCCCAGGTGTGTCACCAACCCCCCAGGTGTGTTTGAACCCCCCCAGGTGTGTCCCCAACCCCCCAGGTGTGTCCCCAACCCCCAGGTGTGTTTGAACCCCCCCTCCCAGCAGGCACAGGTTCTGGCAGTAGATCTGGGGGGGCACAGGTGAGTCAGAAACCCCCCAGGTGTGTCCCCAACCCCCAGGTGTGTCCCCAACCCCCCAGGTGTGTCCCCAACCCCCCCAGGTGTGTCACCAAGCCCCCCAGGTGTGTCAGAAACCCCCCAGGTGTGTCATCAGCCACCCCAGGTGAGTCACCAACCCCCCAGGTGTGTCCCCAACCCCCAGGTGTTCAGAAACCCCCAGGTGTGTCCCCAGCCCCCAGGTGTGTCAGAAACCCCCAGGTGTGTCAGAAACCCCCAGGTGTGTCCCCACCCCCAGGTGTGTCCCCAAACCCCCAGGTGTGTCAGAAACCCCCAGGTGTGTCCCACACCCCCAGGTGTGTCCCCAAACCCCCCAGGTGTGTCAGAACCCCCCAGGTGTGTCCCCACCCCCAGGTGTGTCCCCAGCCCCCAGGTGTGTCCCAACCCCCAGGTGTGTCCCCAGCCCCCAGGTGTGTCCCCAACCCCCAGGTGTGTCAGCCCCCAGTGTCACCCCCCAGGTGTGTCCCCAACCCCCAGGTGTGTCACCAGCCCCCAGGTGTGTCCCCAACCCCCCAGGTGTGTCAAGCCCCCAGTGTACCCCCCAGGTGTGTCACCAACCCCCAGGTGTGTCCCCAACCCCCAGGTGTGTCACCAAACCCCCAGGTGTGTCCCCAACCCCCAGGTGTGTCCACCCCCAGGTGTGCCCCCAGGTGTGCCTCAACCCCCAGGTGTGTCACCAACCCCCAGGTATATTGTTTAACCCCCAGGTATATTTTTAACCCCCCAGGTGTATTTTTAACCCCCAGGTGTGCTTTAAACCCCCAGGTCCATTTAAGCCCCCCAGGTGTGTTTTTAACCCCCCAGGTATATTTTTACCCCCAGGTGTGTTTAACCCCCAGGTCCATTTTAACTCCCCAGGTATATTTTTAACCCCCGGTCCATTTAACCCCTCCAGGTCCATTTTACCCCCCAGGTATATTTTTAACCCTCCCAGGTGTGTTTTTAACCCCCAGGTCCATTTTAACCCCCAGGTGTGTTTTTAACCCCTCCAGGTTCATTTTAACCCTCCCAGGTATATTTTTACCCCCCCAGGTGTGTTTTTAACCCCCAGGTCCATTTTAACCCCCCAGGTGTGTCCCCAACCCCCGATCCATTTTAACCCCCAGATCCATTTTAACCCCCAGGTCCATTTTAACCCCCCAGATCCATTTTAACCCCCCAGGTCCATTTTAACCCCCCAGATCCATTTTAACCCCCTAGGTCCATTTTAACCCCCCAGGTATATTTTTAAACCCTCCAGGTCCATTTTAACCCCCAGGTCCATTTTAACCCCCAGGTGTGTCCCCAACCCCCAGTGTGTGTTTAGCCTCTCCCCACCCCGTACCTTGTGGTCCTTGCCGTCCACCTCGTAGACCGAGATGTTGCTCTTGCGGTAAATCTCCCGCCCCGGCGGCTGCCGCCACTGGCACTGCCCCTGGGGGGCACAGGTGGGCACCAGGTGAGGCCAGGTGTGCCCCAGGTGTGTCCAGGTGTGCCCCAGGTAAGCCCAGGTGTGCCCAGGTGAACCCCAGGTGTACCCCAGGTGTGCCCAGGTGGATCAAGGTGTCCCCCAGGTGTGCCCAGGTGGATCAAGGTGTCCCCCAGGTGTGCCCAGGTGTGTCCCAGGTAAGTCCAGGTGAGCCCCAGGTGGATCAATGTTTGTCCCAGGTGTGCCCAGGTGAACCCCACGTGTGCCCCAGGTGAATCAAGGTGTGCCCCAGGTGTGCCCAGGTGGATGTCAGATGTGCCCAGGTGAGCCCCAGGTGTGCCCAGGTGTGCCCCAGGTGGATCAAGGTGTGTCCCAGGTGAGCCCAGGTGAACCCCAGGTGTGCCCAGGTGGATGTCAGGTGTGCCCAGGTGAGCCCCAGGTGTGCCCAGGTGTGCCCCAGGTGGATCAAGGTGTGTCCCAGGTGTGCCCAGGTGAGCCCCAGGTGTGCCCAGGTGAACCCCAGTAAGTCCAGGTGAGGCCAGGTCGATCAAGGTGTGTCCCAGGTGTGTCCCAGGTGTGTCCCAGGTGTGCCCCAGGTGTGCCCAGGTGTGGCCCAGGTGGATCAAGGTGTGTCCCAGGTGAGCCCAGGTGAACCCCAGGTGGATCAAGGTGTGCCCAGGTGACCCCCAGGTGTGCCCCAGATGTGCCCAGGTGTCCCCCAGGTGTGCCCAGGTGAACCCCAGGTGTACCCCAGGTGTGCCCAGGTGAACCCCAGGTGAACCCCAGGTGTGCCCAGGTGAACCCCAGGTGTGCCCAGGTGACCCCAGGTGTGCCCAGGTGACCCAGGTGAACCCCAGGTGTGCCCAGGTGAACCCCAGGTGTGCCCAGGTGACCCCAGGTGTGCCCAGGTGCCCAGTGACCCCAGGTGTGCCCAGGTGAACCCCAGGTGTACCCCAGGTGTGCCCAGGTGAACCCCAGGTGAACCCCAGGTGAGCCCCAGATGTGCCCAGGCGTGCCCCAGGTGGATCAAGGTGAGCCCCAGGTGGATCCAAGGTTTGTCCCAGGTGTGCCCAGGTGACCCCCAGGTGTGCCCCAGATGTGCCCAGGTGAACCCCAGGTGTGCCCAGGTGAACCCCAGGTGTACCCCAGGTGTGCCCAGGTGACCCCAGGTGAACCCCAGGTGTGCCCAGGTGACCCCCAGGTGTGCCCAGGTGACCCCAGGTGAACCCCAGGTGTGCCCAGGTGAACCCCAGGTGTGCCCAGGTGACCCCCAGGTGTGCCCCAGATGTGCCCAGGTGACCCCAGGTGAACCCTAGGTGTGCCCAGATGAGCCCCAGGTAAGTCCAGGTGAGCCCCAGGTAAGTCCAGGTGAGCCCCAGATGTGCCCAGGTGGATCAAGGTGTCCCCAGGTGTGCCCAGGTGGATGTCAGGTGTGCCCAAGTGTTCCCCAGGTAAGCCCAGTTGTGCCCCAGGTGCCCCCCAGGTCTATCCCAAGTGTCCCCAGGTGTATCCCAGGTGCCTCCCCTCCCCCAGGTGCCCCAGGTCTATCCCAGGTGTGTCCCAGGTGCCCCCAGGTGTGTCTCCCTCCCCAGGTGTATCCCAGGTGTCTCCCCCTCCCCAGGTGTATCCCAGGTGTCTCCCCCTCCCCAGGTGTATCCCAGGTGTCTCCCCCCTCCCCAGGTGTATCCCAGGT